TGTGCGAAGGAATGCTTGAAAAAAAGTAAAAATAACCATTACTTTTTATCAAAAAACCGATGGTTTACAATGATCCCGAAATCAGTCGAATTTATTATTTATATATATTCTTGTAGCTCTCTTCACGAGCCACTCATCACACTAGGAATGGTTTGTGAATAAAGCTTGAATAGTAGAGAAAAAAGCGAAATATCGGACAAATAGTCCTAAAAAGTTAGATCCGAAGTAGTTTTTTGATAAAAAGTAATGGTTATTTTTACTTTTTTTCAAGCATTCCTTCGCACATATTCTTGATCAGCTCGTCAAGCTCTATCGATTGGCATATTTGAAAAGAAGTTCTATTCTCATTTCCTATCGAAAATAAATTATTAATGACAATTCAGCGTCAAAAACGTTGGTAATTTATTAAGTTCTTTTTGCAACAAAATCCATTTCGAAGCTCCGAAAAGTACCGAAAACTACATAGAATTGAATTCTCTATCGATCTACATCGAAATTAAAATATTTTGAGAAGGAGCCGATTTCTACAGGATTTTGGACCCCGTCCTTTCGATGCTTACAGTCATGCTGATGGTGCTAAGAGGTTGTTTGTTTTCGAGTAGATTTTGTCGGATATGTTTGACCGAACGCGCTCAAAAGGGTCGAAATTATCAGATGTGATGACTGTGCTGAGTCTTGGACAGGTTGGAGCAGTAAAAGTTAGTGGGCCGATTTCAAGTCTTATGCACACTCAACCTTTCAAAATCTGAAATATAAAATGTTTTATTTAATGTCTTTCTTAAATACTAGGTGTCCTAGGATCTCTGTATTCATGTATTTCAAGTATTTTTCTAACAAGTCAAACTGCACTCGCATTCACATGGAAACAAACGGCATCGAAGATTCTAATTAACCGAAAAATACTCAGATTTTGAGATCAGTATATGCACAGACAGTCAGTTAACGAAAGTCAATCAAGTTTTGTAAAAGTCATATCTGTTCACCCGAATCACTTACAGAGCGGAGAATAACCTTACAGCTTCATATGATTTTAAGAAGCATTATGACTCATTTGTAAGAATTGTCTATAAATTTACCTACACATTATGAATTTGTTCTCTATTTTTCTTATTGAACGTATACGTCATCAAATCGATATGATCTATGATATATAGATAGTGTACGTTCAAATTTTAGGCAAAAAAAATCGACATTTTTGCGAAAAATAAAGTTCATTCGAGCATAGCGTTTCGTCGAAGGAGAAATGGGCGATCAAAGTTAATCAGATTTGTTTTTTACATTTCAAACTATAGGTTACTATTGCCTTTTTGCTTCTCTTTCTCTTTTTTCCATTACTTGACTATTAGGTAACGATCATAAAACATGTCATAAAGTTGTCTATATGAATGATATCTACTGAACATAACCATAAAGGTGTCAAAAACAACAGCAATTTGTAAACTTGAATCGGATTCAAGGTGATTTTGTCTTACCATATTCTGATATACTGACCAAATTTCGTGTCATTACTTTTTAATGTTATAAGAAAAGAAAATGTTTCTTCTATCAGGTGTAACCTACATAGATAGTTGAACTGTAGGTTACTCATTTTATTCATTGAACACTATGTCATTCCAGTGTAGATAAGAACTGTAGACAGATGTTAATATCCCCACATGTACCATACAGTACATGCGTTTACTTTTTTCTTTTTTCGTTTCACAACTATGCACTTTTATCGATTTCAAAATACAATGTATGTACTACAGTATTTTGAATAAAGTTTGATAAAACAATGATGAATAGCTGAAATTTTCTGTGAGAATAGTAGGATTAAAGTCACCTTTTTAAACATATTTATAAAGTAACAACTTTATTTATTTGAGACGTTTTGTTCTATACTATAGTCAAAATGATCAGTGTGTATAAAACATCAGTAGAAATAAAACAGAAAAAAGATAACGAAAATGTGGGAAGAACGTAGAAAAAATTTCTATCGAAAATTTCTGAAATTGTCGCTCTTCTATAGAGGACATTGGAGGAAATCATATCTGTGGAAAAAAAGCGCAAAGTATCACCTTCGGATTGTGCACCTCATCACCTTTGGACTCAAACTCCGTCTCCTGCCATCTCTCAGAATTGATATCAGTTTTCTGTAGCCCCATAATTAAAAATCCATGGGAGAGCGAGTAACTACATAAATGAATGAAAACATAGATTATCGACTATTCTGTACCTTCTGGCAATGTTTTTTATTCAATAAAAGTGAAAAGTTCTGGTAAAATAAATCTGATTTTCGGAGCAGTGTAGACAATTTTACACTTTTTACCTACAAAATTGTCAAATTCATATATCATTCAAAGTTATCGATAATCACATGCAAAAGTCAGAATGTCTCATTTATAACTCAGAAACTCGGTAACATATTCTTGCATGTCTCGATATTTTTCCAAAATTCTCCCTCCAGAGATCTATGAGATGAGAAAAATGAACAGTTTCATTTTTTTTTTGATTGATAACTTTTTGTGATTTCAACGGCTGAAACTGAAGTAGTTATCGATCAATTAATTATTCCAATATGTCTGACGTCTATAATACACAAATGTCTAACGATGATCTCTCTGAAATTATCTAAAAGTAGCAGCCCGGCGTGGTCAAATGTAACGGAATTTTATTTTTTTATCTTCTTGGCAAGGGAGTAATATTTATCGATAAAATATGTATTAGTGATGAATATTAGCGAGTTCTATTACCAAAAAAAGTTTGAGTTTGATTTAGTCAAGCGGATCAAAAGTTATAGTCAAAATAGAGAGAGGCCATTACAGAATTTCCAGAGAAAAGCGAATTTTTTTCTGGATATTCCAGTAAAATGTAAATTACTCCGGCGCAGATTAATTTTGAAATGATCGTTTAGTGACCAAATAAAGCTTACAGTTTAGACTATTAGAAACACGATAGACTTGAATTAGCCTTGAACTAACTTCCTGGCGGAGGAAATCGGAAAAAAGTGATCGTTACGGAATTTCATCTTTTTTCTGTTGTCCTTTGCACTTAATATTCTAATAAAGAAAAAAAGTAAGAAAGATATACAGCAGAGGCAGAAGAGCAGGACAATATTTAGACGTATATTTTAACATTTTTTTTAGACCCAAGAAGTGATAAATTCACTGACCGTATGCTAAAGGTTAGTGAAATGCTGATGAGCATTTGTATATTATTTTCGATTGTTTGTCATCATTTAGAGGCAGAATCACATGATATCAAAGGTAGTTGATTAGAAAGAAAATATCTTGTCATAGAAATTGTGGTGATTGTTAAAAAATTTGAAAATGAAAAAGTAAAAAGAAGATAATTTAGTATAAATGGCAGATGGTGATACATTTAAACTTCATTGTGTGTGGAATGCAAGGATAAAATTATAAATGATCCCGGAAAAAAAGCACAAATAATCCTTTTTACAAGATTTTGTAAAAGATAACACAAGTGATCATAGAAAAACTCGGAACAATTGTGCATCAATTAAATATGCAAAATTGATCGTGGGAAAATTTTGTACGGCAGACTCTAATGTTAATAAAAGTGGTAATCTTTTTGTTTCAACATATCTCTGCCGTACATCATTGGATATCAAGTTAAATGTCTTACATTGATGACATGCTTGCATTTTAGAATACTTGTTCTAGTCTATCAGCAACGTATGGGATCAACAACGACTGAATATTAAACTCTCGGTTTTGAATGTTTTTGTCTGCCTGAAGGAAAAAAATTACAGTCACTTTTGAGTCACAGATAATTAGTCTTATTGATACAATTTTTTTTTTAACAACATTAGGGATTTAAATACATACGTTTCTTTTTTGGCGTAACATTTTGTACAACAATTTACGCCTTTAGCTCGACATGGGCAATTTTTTGTCACACAGTCCCGTTTACAAATTCAGGCCAAAAAAAAGTGTGTGTATTCAAATGTTGTTAAAAAAATATTTATGTGATTATTTTGTTACCTAATAATATTCTCAAGAAAAAAAAACGTACTTCAAACATACGGAGTTCGAATCCTGGGAAATCCTGGCGGTCGCGTGAAAGTCTTGAACAAGCTATCTAATGCTCATTGTCTCGGTACCTTTGGACACAGATGCAATGGGGTAACTCGATTTCAGTGTCATTGGACTGGAGAGATGAGAGTTAAAGTTTAAAAAAAATTCCACTATAGTGGAGATTAAAGTTTTATTCTCCACTAGTTAAACTTAAAATGTCAATTTCCACTGACAAGAATCCAGTGAAAATTAAAATTTTAATTTTCACTGTAACATATACACTAATAATCGTCAAGTCATTGTTTCAATCTATTGTATAAAGTACATTTTTTATCTCTCAGATTATTTTTATCCATCTGTTTATTAAAATATGCAATAAAAAAAATATGCCTCGACAACGTTCACAATGAAATGGAATTTTTTGTGCAAATGTACTTCAATTATGAGTTGTTCACACTGATGTTCAATGATTTCAATTAATGATTTTCTACTAAGCAAACGATATAATTCACTTTATCTGAGTTGTATTAGATTTATGTGTCAATAGAGAAGTTCTATTAGTGCGATAAAAACAAAAACAGTTGTGAAATGATATATATATTGTAATTATGATGTTTTAGAGAGTTACAAATCTTTAATATGAATCAGACCATCGCGTATACTTGTTCTTATTACTTTATAGATAGATTGTAGAATAAGCGCTGGTTATCACACGATCTTCAAATGAATCATTCCAATGACAAGTTTACGATCAAAGTCATCTTATCATCATCCACAACAACAACAACAACAACAACAAGCTATTCCCTCTTATCGAAAACGAAAAGATCGTGTTAAACAACGTGCGCCCGAATATATCGCTGGTGGTTTAGCCTCGGCAACCAATATTCTTCTTACATATCCTCCTAACAAGTTAATATTTCGTCAACAAATTTATGGTTTAACATCTCATGATGCATATCGACAATTGAAACGAGAAGGTTTCATTACGTTATACAGAGGTTTATCGTTACCATTGATTCAAAAGACGATAACGTTGGGAATTATGTTTGGCACCAATCATCATTATTTAAATATTCTTCAAACTACGTCAGGCAAAAAGTGTTGGTATCATCAACCGATTGCAAGTGTGTTGGCAGGTTTTACTGAAGCCATTTTATGTCCACTCGAACGTACACAAGTCTTACTACAGACACCAAAATATCACACAATACTTTCGTCAGCCACTCATGCGTTCTCCGAAATTTATAAAGTTTATGGTATCCAAGAATGTTATCGTGGATTTTGTTTAATTGTATTACGGAATAGTACAAGTAATGCGGTCTTTTTTGCTTGTCGAACACCACTAAAAAACAGATTACCCAAAACTAATTCAAAATTAAAAAATTCATTGTATGATTTTATTAGTGGTGGACTACTAGGTGCTTTATTGAGTACTTTGACTTATCCAATTAATCTTATCAAAAATAATATTCAGTCCGAATTAGGTGGGAGAAAAATTTATGCATATCAAATGTTACGTTCTGTATACGATGCTAGAGGACAATCGATTAAAGAATTTTATAGAGGAGCTAAATGGAACTGTAAGTTCTCTTATACTAAGATCCTTTCATGACTTATATTTTCTGTTTATATTTTTTAGTTGTTAGGTCATTGATTAGTTGGGGTATCATAAATACTTCTTATGAATTGTATATATCAATAGTTAAATCGGCGTTGATTATAGAAGAATAAAATGATCTGATGCTGTACTCAGAGAGAATGAGAGAGACGGTAGATTTAATTCAATTAGTCATTGTGCATCGTCATCAAGACGTTTCTTGACTTGCCAGTTTTGACAGAGAATGTGTTTGGTCGCGATCAAACTGTGCGGTTACACACGCAGTTCAATCTTACAAACATTTTTTTAGAATCGTCTTCACATCTGCTTTTGTTTTTGAATAAAAATTCCAGTGTTCAGTTAATTTTGAATAAAAAGTGAATTAGAGGAAGTGGGAATATATTTAACTATGAATAATTAAGTGATTTTAAGTGCATCTGTCGTAGTTTCCAATTGCAATATACATCTGTGTTTTTTAATGTAGAAAAAGAGGTGAATTAAAGCGCGAGCATTTTGAATATGAACATCACTTAATTTTGATTTCTAATAATTTCCATTTAATTTCAAGTAATTTTCTGAGGATGCTAATTCTTTTCGGCTGTGAATATACTGATACATCTATCTATTGTACCCATAGTATTACTAAACATTTTACGATCCTTTTTATATAACGTAGTAAACTAGAACACCTACGTTATAGATAGAGCTTAAATATATTTATGTATACATTTTTTGTGTTTTCTTTCACAGCAAAAATGTTCGCTATTCCAAACTTATATTTTTCAGTTTTTTGTGATAAAAAGAAACGATCCAATTATTTTTTGTTTATTGGTATATATTTAAATAAAAAAGCATTGCAAAGCAACTACGAGACAAATGTGCGTGGAGTTACGTCGAATCGTCTTCTTTTTCGCTTTAGCTACGCTCACTCAATTCATCAAAAAACTTAACACTTTATTTTAGTCAGAGTACAATGGTTTTTGTTGAATATACGTAAATTGACATTTAAAGAGTCAATTACATCATATTCTTACTTATTTAAGAAGAATTGAGTTGTTTCTTTCCACGGTTTAAAGAAAGCCGCGGTGGCGAGAAGGTTTAGATGAGTCTTAAGGACGAAACTGAACACTTGACTAATGTGTATTTAGGTTTAATAATCCATTTTTTCTTGTGGTTACAGAGGATTTGTTTCGTACATAATTTGAACACAGTGAGGGTGAATTGTTTTCCTCAAAACATGCATTTTTCAAGTATCGACTCCAGTTTTTAGAAATGACACACAGCATATACTCTAATCTTGACTTGAATCACTTAAAAAAATGAAAGAAAAGTTGTGAATAAAGTGGTAGAGCATTGATACTCTACTTGCTTGAAAGTTTTAGTTTTAAAATACTGAGACAGGCCAAGTGAAACAAAACAGGCGCATTAACACATCGAGGAAAACAGATGTATGTTTAGTTCTAATGAACTCAAGTATGCAATTTAAAAATAAAAAGACATGGAACGTGAATCTTGACTTCTATTTAGGGTGTAAAATGTCCGCTGCTGCTGATGAGGAGGAGAAGGAACAAAAAACAAAGTATAAAATTAATACTTTAATATTAAGTATAAAACAAGAATTGCTTGTACGGATAGTAAAAAGCTGAATTATTTGCAGATTTTTCAAGCAAGAGATTTATAAAGCCACAGAAGATGATCTTCCGTTTCACTACCACGTTACAAATACAGTACGGACTAAAATAAACAATCTATTAAAGAAAAAGAATATCGAAACTCCAGAAATAACGGCAAAAGAAGTGACGTGGTATTTAAAACGGTTGAAAAACACGTCACCCGGACCAGACAACGAACACAACAGGCGTCTAAAAAGCTTCACACCGTCACCCGTTCACTGTCTAATAAAGCTGTTCAGTAGCAGCATAACTCTTGGGCATGTCCCAAGCCAATGGAAACATGCACTAATCATTCTGTTGTTAAAACCAAAAAAGGAGAAGGAGATCCATCTAGTTACAGGCCTATCAGTCTTCTCAGTTGTATTGGCAAAGTGATGGAGAGGATCATGACCGACCGATTGATGCTGATTTTGGAAGTCGCAGGTATCCTTCCACGCCATCAAGCTGATTTTAGATCACGAAAAAACACTATGTACAATATACTACGGCTGTAAAATTCGCAGCCAGTAACTTGGAATTTAATAACCTGTTTATCGCTGACTCAATGAATGGAATGTTAGATCATACGCAACATGGCTTATTTGCCGACGATACGGCACTCCGATCAAGTTGCAGCACTCTTTCGGGTTTGAACAGGCGACTTCAGGAATCTGTAAACGTTTTTGAACGTTGGTGACAGACCTGAAAACTAACGCTACAGTCGACAAAGACGGAAGTGATTCACTTTACCCCATATCCACGTAAACAATACAAAAATCCAGTCGAGGTAGGCGTAGGTGCAACAATAGCCCAAAACCATTCGCACGATATTTAGGTGTTATTTTCGATCAAACACTGTTGTTGAAAGAACACGTCACACATATACAAGAAAAAATCAGAACCAGAATTAATCTTCGCATATTTCTATCCAAATCACAACCACAGTCAAACGATAGAATAATGATCAATCTTTTCAAGTCTCTCATCAGATCTGTTTTAACGTCCGGTGCACCAGCATTTCTAAAAGCATGCGAAGAAATATGGACTAAGCTGCAAATCCTGCAAAACAAGAGCCTTAGAGCAGCACTAGGACTGTCACACTACACATCTACTTCCTGCATTCATCATGTAAGCAAAATACAAAAACTAAAAGACTATTGTGAGACACTAACTGGACGAGCAATCCTTCGAGCAGAAAGATATGAGGACAATATTATGACAGAAAACCTACACGCTCTTTTAATGTAATCAATAAGCTAACTCTAGTTCGTGTATTTATTTGTTTTTGATTTTCTGGCAAAAGACTTTAGTCAACAACCAGGCCTCTAAATAATTTTTCTTTTCTTCGAATTTCGAATAAACTGTTGGTTACTCATAGTTTGAAACATTATTACCGATAGAATGCATCATATGTTTACTACTAGAACACGGCAGTATTCCAATCGTATTTAAGGGATTCAAGTGGTGTCTGAAGTGTTTCTAAGATACATTTCACTCGGTCAGATTTCCAATCTGCCCGTAGAGTAGTTGGCATCTAGCCCTTTTCTTCTCATAAGAGAAGTGACGATACAGTGCCGCATGGTTTGACATGACAATGTGGTGCTGATATCAATCAGTGCCGTAGTCTAAGTATCCGAAACTAGACAAAATTACCGAAAGCAATGATAATAAAAGTACTAATCACTGATTCCAGTGCGTCCGTGAAAAAAATCAGTGCAACCTTTTTAGAAGATATATATATATATCGACTCTACTCGGCACTTGTTGGCATTGGCAGTCTAGATCTTTTTTCTTCTAGTACCGTACTGAAATATTTTTCAGGGAAATTGTGAGCGACTTAGTTTGTCAATATTCCATAAATTCAGGAAAAAAAAATAAGTATGTTAATAACGAACAACAAAATATCTTGTTATTTTACTCAACCATTCTTTCTCTTTAAATACATGTATCTGATTGTACATCACTGATTGCTGATGAAATCGCAATTTCGACAGAAAATTGATCGTGATATGAACAGAACAGTTGAAATTACCGTAATGTTTTTTTTGCGTTTATGGTCTATTTGTAGGCAGGGCTGTCTCAAAGTGGTTAGGATGAGGGGTCAGACAGTTCGAAATGGTACAGAACACAAAAAAAATTTCCAGAATTGGAGAGTACTCTAATTAGTAGATTGTTGATTATTCGAGCTTCATTCTACCTTTTTTTCGTTTCTCTTGTTCTTCGAACTGTGACGTATTATTAACAAAGAAGAATGAAAATGTTGTATATAAACGATTCTTAACTTTTCGATGTTTGATATTAGTTGGCATAACATTAAAATAAAAAATTTAAGTAAGGACATTCAATTGAAAAAAGACGTTACTCTTGCCTTGAAATATAGACAGATGATTACGTCGCTCTCGAGGCTAAACCTTACCTAGAGACGTATTTTTTTCGAATTAAATGTAAGACAGCGGAGTATATTATACAAAATGTGATATTTCTCAGAGCTTCGGTGGTTTCCTCACGCAAAAAGCTAGCGATGAATTTATTCTCAACTCAATCTGTCATACTTCAACGTGAGCTAAATTTCGTTCGACCGAGCCGAAGTTTGGTCACAAACAGCCGTGATACTATCCCAGATGCCTTTCTAATAAATATTGCTTTTTCTTCTTCAGTTACAGCAAAGTGCTGAACAGATGCAAAAACACTAGAAAGCCAAGAGTGGGGAAAGTCTTATAAATCCATGTGCTAAGTTAAATACGTTGTGAGAGAGATAACATTGTTTATTTTGACTGAAACTGGAACTTTGGTGCAGAAGAAATCGAGTTTACGAATACCACTTTTCACCACTTCATTCCAATTCAATATAGCTCATAATTTAAATAATTTCTTGCTATACTAAACAGTGTTAAGTTTAGTTTGAAGAAATCACATTCGGCTACGTGGCAGTTGTTGTCATGTTTCAGCTTAATTCTTGTGCCTGACGTAGTTCTGCTTAATCACACACGAAACTATTGCCGCCTTTTAGAAGCAGAAATACGACTAACCTGATCCCATAATTTTTAACTTTTCTCTAGATATGAAAAAAGAGTAAGAAGATCCCTGCGTATAATTCTCAAGTAGCAAATTTTCAGATCAATCGGATAAAAAAAATTCAATGATAATGTGGAAAATTTCAGAGCTAAAAAGTCTAGAATTTTGAGATACACTTTAAAGCTTTTAGAAAAAATGTCCAAGAGAACTGGATCAATCTTGAATTATAGACTACATTTCGTTTTGTAGAATGACATATTTAGTCAGACACAGTCGGGTCTATTAAAAATAAAACAAGTGCCCTAGAACACTTGTTTTTTTATAGTAAGGTATCTCATAAATTTCCTAACTGTCCTTTATATGTGTCTTGCATTCTTCAGATGCAAATTGAGTAAAATGGAAAAAGAGAAACTCTTCCAGTCTGACAACACAAACGATAATGAAATAATCAAGTCTACCTATGGAACTTTAGAACAAAATCTTACAACAAGCTCCAAAATTAAATACAAATGTCCTCCCAAACCCAGCAGAGAGCCTTATCCCATCCATTGCAAAACCTTCTACAATCACGCCTTCGATGTCGTCAATAATCTTCAGCCATACCAAATTCATATGTTCTACCTTGACGGTGTTGACCACTTTTTTGCCGATCTCAGCAAAACCAGGTCAGAAGATTCTCATCATTTTCGCCGTCGTGATTTCTTAGAAGTTGTGTGTCCTTGTTGGCCAAAACAGCGAGCACAAGTCAACAACCGTCGTCAGTTGTCGCAGCATCTAATAATTCAAAATTATAACCAAAAGTCGCCTCTCATACGAAAATTGTTTTCGGCTACGCCCGAGGGTGAGACGATACGAGCGGGTATACGCGCTATATACAGCCAATTATATAGTTCAGGATTGTTTCATGGAAAATGTAAGACTTGTTATATAACTACGGGAGATGAATTCATTCGTCTCATGGAAACAGATGGTGGTGGTATCCCGAATGAACGGCAATGTCACAAAAATCAAGAATCGCGACAAAAAGAAGAAGAAAAAAACAAGGATAACGCTGAAAAATTTAGACGAAAGCAATATGCGTTTCATTCGAGTTCTGAATTCAATTTCACATTGTTAGCCGATGGAATATTTCATATTTCCCGTTCAGACACTATACTACGAGATATAGCGTCCAAACATGTATTGCAGGCGGCGTGTGATTCCGAAGTAGTGTATGCCGGAACATGTCGCTTCGAAAAGCGTGATGGAGAAGAGAAAACTGTGTTTGTGCTGGATAATGATTCGGGAACATATCTCCCTAGAACCGACAGGGATGAACTAGCGCGGTTAAAAGGTTTGCTGGAATGGAATTTTGCCGGCTTGTATGTTGATACCAAGACATATGTGATGCCGGGAATGGAAGATGATGACGGTTAGGAGTCGAAACCTTGCTCTTATCTCACAAGGTGATACACAGTGGGCAACCACATCATATTTAGGTGGTGCGCTTTTTCAAGATCTGAGTAGAAGGTCATATATTTCAGCATACGCTCTATCTTTTTGGCGTTGGAAGTTTTTTTCTAAGTGCTATAGTTAGTGAGAAAATCGTTAAGAAAGTTTTGCCGGAAAATAGAACGATGAAGATAGAAGAATCATTTTTAGTAAAGTCGAACATGATAACTGTAAAAATCATATATAGTTGGAAACTGGACCTTTCACTCTGTCTATTCGTAAAAAAAAAGTTTTTGGAGGATGTCTTGGAACCGAGAAAAAGATGTGTCTTTCTCTGCTAAGTGTTTTCCGAAGAGGAAGCATCTCAGTTCAGGAACATTGAAATTAAAAACCAATAATATTATATGGAATCAGCTCAAAAAACTGCGTCGAATGGTGTATAATTCAGCCGTGTTTGTAGGAAAACTTTTAAATTTAGTTGATTCCTTTGTTTCTTGCATGTGCGTATAGGGATTTTTGGCTGAAATTTTAAAATTTGAAATTATCAACAGATGAAACCGTCTAAGCACTATTTCTATAGGTTATCGATGATTCTCTATCCAATGCAATTGTTTTTGAGTTTTTTAAAGGTTTTCGAAATGGTTTTCTAGAGATCGGATTTCTGGAAAACCACTTAGAAAACCTTTTTAGAACTCCAAAAGCATTCTGTTAGATAGAGCACACAAGACAACCTATACAAAGCGCGCTTTTTAGTTTTCCTCTAGCTTGTATGCGAAAAGATCACGTGCCTAGTGAAAATTGCCCACTGTGCGATAGTCATAAAGTATTAAGTGATGTCTACACCTTCAACAGTGTATATAATATATTTCTTGAAGCAAAGTAAAGGGCGTGACATATATAGGTCGATCATCTAGTTCTCAAAGCTAACTTGCTGCGACTCGAAAGTAGCTTCGAGAACAGAAAAGCAGAGAAGTCTTTTTTATATACCGTATATGACGATGGCATAAATAATATTCCTTCTTTTCAATTATATATATATGCGTTTCTTTTTTTCGATTATAGCAGTCTGTCGAACAGGATGATACTTACGAGAAAAGATCCTCAAGTGATTAATCGCTTTTTCCGTGAAACATATATGACTACAGGCAAGTTTTGGTGTTGATCAAGAATCTGGTATTCATCAGGGTCCATCTGACCTTTCGAAGTAGACCTTCGAAAAACTGGCCAGTGGAGTCCCTATTAAAACTCGAGATAAAGAAATTTTGATCTGTTTGTCTTGTAGAGAATGATAACTATTACTATTTAAATTGTACTCATTTCATATTTTGTCATCCAACGATCGTACATCTACAAAAGTTAGGCAAACTAAAAACTCATCTTAATGGAAAAGCTACGGAAAGTCGATCGTCCGAATATTAGTCACCAAGAAATTCTGATACTAAATTAATTCACAGTCAATTTTTGTTACGAATTGATGAGGTTACAATTGATAAAAAAAAGTTAATTTTGAAACTCTAATGTTTGTGAATTTAATGCCACAATAGAAATATTTGAATATTGTATGTATAAAAAGAAAAAATAAGAGAACAGTAGAAACTTAATCGATTTTCAATTTTATCCGACTAAGTTAATTACAATAAAAATTTGTATATCTGTTAAACTTCATATTTTCTAACTTCTATATTTTTTCTATTCCGTAAGTACAACAAGTGTTCATATGATGAAGAAAAAATTTCGAGTCCCTGATTTCGTTTCGCTAAACCTTTTTACAGTTTTGATCGGATTCGAAAATTTCAAGCCTAAGCCAAATTTGAAGCAGGGCTAGTGTTTGCCCCTCTCTGTCAAAATCCAACAGTCATATTTGATAGAAACTTCATCAAATCTGAATGATTGTATTTAGCGTACACTGTTCACAACAAAGTTGTGTTGTTAAATAAATTTATTTACTGGAACAAGAAACTTTTTTTGTACTATTTTATAGTTTTTGTGAGCAAAAATCCGTATCATCAGATGTTTGTGCATCTATTTCATTAGAAGTCATAATTGGTTTAGCAATATTAGCAAGTACCATAGTCTCTGGAGTTATTCTTATATCGAGTATTGTTTGTTTATTGAATAATCGACATAAAATATTTATTAAAACTTTTTGCGTTCTAGTAGGAAAAACAACAACATGAAATATGTATATATAACGATATTTGTTTTAACAATATTCTAAATAGAAAGAAGGATGCTCGAATATCTTCTCAACGTTACCTTCATAGTTCTTATCAATTTTCATTAACTAGTTTATGACGACATTACACTAATGACAGTATTGATTTGTTATAATAATCAATGAAATTTGTTGAACTATTCATTTTTTTAACGTATTAACTATATGTCAACACTATGTCGTATAATTGGTGATTGTTCTTGCATAATATTGGAAATATTGCCTTGGTATGATGATTTGCATTGACCCAATAAACAACGTTCTGCCGACGCCATTTGTAATTTTACAGGATGATGGGAGTTTGATATCTGATATTGTGTCGATTTTCTCTAAATCCAAGGGTACTTCGTTAATTCACATGACAAAACGATATAATTTTGTTTTTACCTGCAACCTTCCAAGCATCTGATAAACATGAGCGTTGAGTTTTGTTCGCTCACTATAATTTGTTCTATCATAGCTTCTGCGGTTAATGTGTAACATAATATAATCAGGTAAACCTAGGGCGATAAAAACAGTAGATGAAACATTGTCAGAAAGTTTCATTTTCAAAATTACTTTCACTGTTTGCAGTAAAATTGCTATAACTCGGAGTGAAAGTGACAGCTACGCTTGAAAGTTTCATCTTTTGTGGAAAATTATTTGTTCTTTAATTGCACAGCCTTCTGAAAGTTTAAACCTTCCACGTGCAGCAAAAAACTCAAATCGAATGGTAGTCTATATCTTGGTTAATGTTAAAACAGACAACATTCTTAATATATTAATTTTAGTAATTATAATATGTAGAAATACATATATTCTCGTATTTTCACGTTCATTATTCATTCATTCTTTCATTCAAAGAATGATTTGTTTGCATCTCATGACCGTTTTGTTTTCTTAAAACACATGTCCATAAAGTAGGTCTGTAATACGATTATCATCATACCCTACTGAAGGCGAACTTTTACGATCATAGCCATGTTAGCACTGGTATGAGCTGATCTGATGCCAAGACTATTTCAACTCTTTTGCTGACTTTGTTCTAGAAACTTCGGCACGGAAAATCTTGTACAGACTTCTTTTCATACTAAGTAGACGCCAAAATATCGAAAAACCCACCAAAAACTTACACATCTACATTAAACTCAAAGTATCTTGGCCTCCACCTGATGGCTTTATTTTTCTAGTAAAGTAATCAGTTTCATAATTTATTAAGTATTACCAATTAAACTCAAGAGTCCTATTGGAACTACTTTTGCACTGACAATGCAAGAGTTGTTTTGTATTTTTTTATAAAAAAACAAAAAAGTTTAAAAAAATCAAATACGTCGATGGCAGAATGGGCTCCATACGCCAGCTGGGATCAGCACTACTTCCACAGTGATCAACAGTTCTGCCAAACAATCGACATGACTACAATGACCGACAGACAGCCCAAAATCATTGATAGCCGCATCACAAACACAAAATTACTAGCAAAAAAGCCAAAAATACTACTACAAACGGACCCAGACGATCCAAGTATTTTTGAATTTTCTGACAAAAGTTTCACCTACGTTTTTCGGAACCGTAGGTTTCCGTGATTATTTTTTCATGATTATAATGTACATTCAATGCAAATACTGTAGTACAAAGAGCGATCCTTATTTCGTCCCCTTCGCTCTCCTACATATGTTTCAATCGTGAGTGCTCGTCCTCAACGAATTTTCAAAACCACACAATAGTGAACCTTCATACTTTGACTGGATAGTCTACAGATAGTGTAGAGCCTTTGGTGTGAATTTGAAGCCAAAATGCTGGTTCCAGATGGAATTGTGCATTTTTTTCGCAAAGAATTTGAAAAAATAATCCCGTCCTCAAAGGGTTAACTCATGGAATTAAGTCTTAATTATAATACAAAATCGTTCAAAAAATCGTGGTTTTCGCCAATTTTTCAGCTTGGAGCCATAAATGAAAGTAAAACTTAGTTTAAAACACTTAATTTTAGATGCAATGGATAGAGAAAACCTTTTTACACACGAATACGTGTGTGTTCCGTGTTTCAAGATGCTTTTCTTGGTCGGCTGATGATCGAAACGGGAGATAAGTCAAAAATACCTTAGGTCAAAAAAAGTTTTGTTTTCGCTTGCACTAAAGTTTATGGCCAAAAGTAAATCGATATTCGTATTCTGTGTTAAATTCTGAATCAAATAATGTAATTTTTATAAAAATCATTCCTAACAAACTTGGGATAATTTCTTCTAAAGATCCGGTTCAATAAGGGGCATAATAAATGATGCGGAAGCAACGCGACAAACTTTATAAAAAATATTCCCAATCATTGCATCCATCATGTTATTCGTATAAAACGTATCGTCAAGCTGCTGTCAAATTTGAAGAAACATGTAAAATTGCTAAAGAGAATATTTTAACAAGTATGCAACTGATTTGAACTTTTTATCCGAAAAATGGTGGAGCTTTATGAAATATACGACTGATATGCACCGCTCATCACTAATACCACCTTTGCTCGATCCAAATACCAATTCATTAGTCAATAAATCTCCAGAGAAATCCGAAATACTTAATCAGCATTTTATGAAAGTATATACGTCTGCACAAACTAACGCAATATTTCCGGTATTATCCTCATCACTTGTTGTTTTATCACAGTTCCATATTTATGATACTGAAGTTTTAGAATTACTGTTGAATCTAGACACAGCAAAATCCTGTTCACCAGGTATTACAAACAGAATGTTGTTCGAAGCAAGCCCCATTGCGCTACTATTAATTAGCTAACTAATGG